AGACCAGTCCGTTCCCAGAGAAGGGCCAGTCCAGTCTAACAGTGAAGGGGATGTGGGCTGGTGGTAGCTGGGCAGCCAAGGTCGGGAGGGAGTTGAGGAGTGAGTGCCAAGCAAAGGCCCAGAGGTGAAAGATTGCAGGTGTGTTCTAGAAACAAGTGGAGCCAGTAATGTTCTGGGTTTAGAGTCCTCTTTAAGAAAAACAATTTTTATTTATTTTAAATATATCTTTATTGATTTCAGAGAGAGGAAAGGAGAGGGAGAGAGAGAAACATCAATGATGAGAGAGTCATTGATTGAACCCACAACCCGGGCATGTACCCTGACCAGGAATCGAACCCCGATCCCCTGGATCCTAGGTTGATGCTCAACCGCTGAGCCAAGCCCGGCTGGGCAAGAAAAACAATTTTTAAATCCTACTTTTGCAAATTCTACAAAACCATTGAACACACTGCTGAGCCCTTCCAGGGCCTTGGAAGGGCTCCTGCAAAGGGGAGGGCCCTGAAGCTTGCCCTCCTTTCATGCTGGGTGACTCAGTCTCAGTGTGAGGAGGAGTGGGGACGGGTGGGGGTGGGATCCTAGTTTCTGATGCTGATCCCCTGCTCGGAGCCTGGATTCGGGCTGGTGCTACCTCTTGGGGATTCGTAAACTAGGGCCCAGCCTTGGGTACCACAGTGCAGGCAGAGTGCTCCAGAGACCAGGAAGCGGCTCCCAGGGACCTTTCAGCAGCCACCTGACAGGAAGAGCAGGGCTCCCCAGAGGGACCTGGTTCCCAGTTGGGCTCCCTCCCGCTTTGGCCATCTCAGGGTGCCAGGAATTGGGGTCCTGGGCTGCAGGCCTGCAGAGAACAAACTGAGAGGCCTCAGTCAGCGCCCAGCCCCTCACCCCACCTGCTGGCTCCCTCTACAGGCCACAATGGGTGGTTTCTAGGGGGTCAGCTCGTCTCTCCCCAGCTGAGCCTGGAGCACCTGGCTGTGGCCAGCACACAAGCAGAGCAGTGATGG